TACTGTGAGCATACTTAATGTCCCATGACTATTACCTAGAGCAGTGCAAGCAGAGGGAGGAAAATGAACATTTATACCTTCAGTCCATATTATGAGTTGATCTGTTATGACATTTATCTATAGTCATGAAAGAAATAATAACTTGGGCGTTAGTAACTTTGAATCACTCCCACTTAATTCTCCATATTTACTTGTTTTCCTAGAGTGAAATATGATCTATCAAGAAGATAAACTTTGAGTAGCTCTTGACTGAAGCTGTGTTGTATTTCCTTTTCTCTTTCTAACTTAGTTATGTTTTATAAAAGCAGATTTGCTGTTGAAGAAGGAAGTGCAATAGAGAGGCAGCCCAGTGCCCAATTGCCTAACAGAAGAATAGGCTCAGCGGTCAGTGCCATTTATCAGAGATGTTTGGCATACAGCACATATCACAGTGAAGGAATTAAAGTTGGGAGTTTGGTAGGATACACCAAGGGAGGGAGGAGGGGACTACAGAGACACAATGGTGAAATAGGCAAAGTCTGTATTTGCATGCTCTGCTACCTCCAGGATCAGACCTCTCCATCTTTCCTCTACTCCTTGAAGCCAAGTGACATAGTACTCATGCATGAGCCTTCTTGTATTAGACTAATCATTCACCTTCCTCTTCTAATCCAATAATGCTCACTGTAAGCATCTATAGAGTGCTGAAGAAGATAAAATACACACAAATACAAACTTGCCTTAGTCTCAATCCTCTGTTTACTTGCTATTCAATGAGGGAGGAAGAGTGGTGTAGAAAACTAACACAAGGGACTAGTACTGTGGTGTAGTGGGTTAAGCTACCTTGTGCAGTGCTGCCATCCCATAGGCATGCTGGTTCAAGTCCTGGCTGCTCCACTTCCAATCCAGCTCCCTGCTAATGTGCCTTGGAAAGCAGCAGAGGATGGCCCAAGTGGTTGGGCCCATGCACGCATGTGGGAGACTTGGAAGAAACTCCTGGCTCCTGGCTTCAGCCACTTGAGGAGTGAAACAGTGGATGGAAGATGTGTGTGTGTGTGTGTGTGTGTGTGTGTGTGTGTTCCTCTCTCTCTCTGTAAGTCTGACTTGCAAATAAACAAATCCAAGACCTAGAGTTAAAAAGAAAATAGAGAGGGATGTGAGAGGGGGACAAAGAGCTACAGAAGTGAGATAAAAGAAACCACAAAAAAGAAAGGAATAATCTGAGGTGTGGGTTAAGAATGTGTGGCAGGAGCAAGGGAGAAGTTCCTAGAAAATGATGTGCAAATAAGCCAGTGGGGAGGGGGCTGGCGCTGTGTCGCAGTGGGTTAAAGCCCTGGCCTGAAGCGCTGGAATCCCATATGGGCGCCGGTTCTAGTCCCGGCTGCTCCTCTTCTGATCCAGCTCTCTGCTGTGGCCTGGGATAGCAGTAGAATATGGCCCAAGTCCTTGGGGCCCTGCACCCATGTTGGAGACCTGGAGGAAGCTCCTAGCTCCTGGCTCCTGGCTTTGGATAGGTGCAGCTTCGGTCACTGGGGCCATCTAGGGCGTGAACCAGCAGATGGGAGACCTCTCTCTTTGTCTCTACCTCTCTCTGTAATTCTGTCTTTCAAATACATAAAATAAATCTTCAAAAAAAAAATAAGTCAGTGGGAAGGAAGTTTAAGGAAAAGATTCTGGATGTGATAATTTTGACATAACTACAAATGTAGTTTAAATGAAGTGATTCATAGATTGCATTTATTCATCAATAAATATTAAAGGAAGCAGCAAGTGAATTACATGCGAATCAAGAATAAAGAGAAATAGCTATATAAATACTCTATTAGTAATTCTTATGGAAGAAATAACACAATAGTTATAAGGACCATCTGTTCTGCTTTGGAGGCAAAATGGGAAAATCCTACTTTTATTATCTAATGACTTACATAATGATCTAAGTGTATTAACCCATAAAATAATGGGTTTTGATAATGGAAAATATCTTTTTTCCTGTAGACTGTGAGTGTGGACAGAGGCCTCACCTGGCTTGATGGCTCATTAGATTAATGAATGCCACCTGCTTGGAAGTAACAGAGGCCCAGAAATAAAGATAAAAATGCAACAAAGAGGAGACTGGTACCCTTAGGAAAATCAAAGTATCTACATCTTAAAAGAGAGGGGAAAATCTTTTCAAAGCATCATTATTCTTTGGCTCCTTTCTGAATAGCTCAAACCAACAGATATCTCACCAGCTTTGCTCTCCTTTTTTGTCTAGAAGGAAAAAAGACACTCCATGGATGCAATGGATATCTATTATTTCTATCTGGCCAGAATCCCATATCCCTTCTTCTGCTAACTGGATACTTCCCCTCCTTTTGAAAATCTTTCTTCCTCTAGAAGGATGCACAAGGCTTTTCCTGTGAGCTAGGACTGCCAATCTGAGTCCGTCAAACACTGATCTGCTCACTGGAGCAAGAAGCTTGATTTCTTTGTCAAAAGAAATCAAGACTGCAAACTTTGTCATCTGTGTAAGGATGGAACTGCACTATGGACAAAATCTGACTGTGAATGAAGTGAATGAAGCTACACAGAAAGCAAGAGAGATAGAGAGAGGGAGAGAGGGAGAGAGGGAGAGAGGGAGAGAGAGAGAGAGAGAGAGAGAGAGAATATCATGTTTTTCCTGATGCTGCTAAGTCTGAGATGAGCCTATGCCTATTTTTTTCATTCTGCGGACAATTCATGTATTTTCCTTGTTTGCCCAAGATAGTTAGAGATGAGTTTCATCAACCCATTACAATACGCCTTGACCTACACATTTATTAGGAAACCAAAATCTCTCTGAGATCAAAATCTGCTCTACTACACAATTATGTATAATATGCATGCTCTAGTATGAAGATGTTCAAAGCATCACATTACCTTAATATGATTACTGAAAAGGAAGAAGGGAAACAGGTAGGATGCACACATCATCCTCTTTCATTACTGACAGAAAGGAATAGGGGAGTTGTGTTGATACCCTAGGAAATTCTATTTTTATCTTCACAATTTATCAAATGTGGAAATGTTGAAACTGATCTTTGCATAACAAAGTGGCTCATACATAACATCTGCAGCCCCCGTTCAAAAATATCAAATATCAATTGTGTATCTGTTGATGGACAGGGCATTAAATTGTAAACCGGGATAGAAGGGGGTAATACAGGAGGAAGAGTATCTTGAATCAGATAGATACATACCATTCCACTTTGGGGGGGAAAGCACACCTACGTTACTCTAGTAAGACTAGCAAAACTTCACTATTCATAACAAATTGCAAAAAGAAAGTAGCTTCATCAGTTTGAACAATGAAATATTTTAAAAATGCATTCTTAGTCAATGGATTGCACTGAGAGGATTTTCAATCATTTCTTTCTGAATGAATGAAGCTGAAATCCAGACACTCTCAACACATAAAAATCTAAGCTTTGAATACTCAAAGTAATGGGGAAATAGCAGAGAACAACATCCGTCACCAGCTTTTCTTGACCATTGCTGCTCCACTGAGAACACTTGCTAAACTTCTTGAGCCCTTCCCTCAGTCAGGTAAAGCTACTACTCAGAGGGTTAGCTTACGCATAAACTATGGAAGTTTCTATTCTGGATACCCTGAGTTAGAAACAATATTTATTCCAGACGAGAGGTGAGCAATTCTGAACTTCAAACTCCCCATTTCTCAGAAAAGAATGATAATGATTCTCTAATTGGGTTATTGTAAGACGTCAAAGAAATAAGGCTGTAATTTGCCGGCGCCGTGGCTCAATAGGCTAATCCTCCACCTTGCGGCGCCGGCACACCGGGTTCTAGTCCCGGTCGGGGCACCGGATTCTGTCCCGGTTGCCCCTCTTCCAGGCCAGCTCTCTGCTATGGCCAGGGAGTGCAGTGGAGGATGGCCCAGGTGCTTGGGCCCTGCACCCCATGGGAGACCAGGAAAAGCACCTGGCTCCTGGCTCCTGCCAGGATCAGCGCGGTGCGCCGGCTGCAGCGGCGGCCATTGGAGGGTGAACCAGCGGCAAAGGAAGACCTTTCTCTCTGTCTCTCTCTCTCTCTCACTGTCCACTCTGCCTGTCAAAAAAAAAAAAAAAAAAAAAATAAGGCTGTAATTTGACTCAGCAAACCTCGGTACCTCTCACTTTACAGGAGAGAATGACAATTGTAAGTGATGCGGAATTAAGGCAGAATGCGGTGAAAATTAATGGTAGGAAACAGCTGACTTACAAGTCTGGCAGTCTGAGAGGCCCTTAGGCTGAAGATGTTTGTGGGATGCTCAGAACAGAGTAGGGAGTGGGAGGTGGGAGCACATCCAGCCCCTAAGGCAACAGGACCTAGTCCCTGGTACTTCAAGGTTAGGGAACAGCCAAGTTCCACTTCCGGTCTGGGAATCTGCGGACCTTTCTCTGGGGCAGGATAGGGGTACAATTTAAAGCTGGGTTGGAGAGGGAAGGCGTGTAGGCAGGAGGTGCGAAAAGTTATAGTTCAGGTAACAGGAACAGAATCTTCAAGGTCAAGACGGGTGTCAGGGATATGAAGAGCCTGCGGAATGCGGAGTTCCGAACGCCCTGAGAATGATTTATTTGCGAAGCTCGGTGCAGACGCCCGCCTCAGCGCGATCCACGCTGGCCCTTGGCGCCCTCTCCAGGCTGCCAGACGTCGCCCTGCCTCCCTTTTCCTTCCAACAAAACCAAGTATCTAAAAAACTTTATTTTTCCTCAAGTCTGGAGCGAAAAGCTTTTTTTTTTTTTCCTTTTCATGTTATAACCCAACTTTCCTCAGCTTCCTTTGGCGAAAACCCCAAATCAAGGCTCCCCGGCAGGCAGCAGCCCGAAATCCGATCAGCCCCGGGCATAGCTCTGGGGAAATAAACGGGCAAGTGCTTGCAAACGAGGGCGCCATTTCCCCGGGGCGAGATTCTGGAGCAGCCGCAGGGAGCGAGGGACGCGCGAGCCAGCGCCGCCGGAGCCCGAGGCCTGGAGGCAGGGACGCCAGCTGACCGGGGCCGCGCGTCAAGCCCAGCGGCTTCCGCAGGAGCTATTTTTAGCGGCACGGCGCGTCCACCCGTTCTCCACCCCCCCTCCCCCCCGGCCACCGGCGTGGTAGCCTCCAGCTCGGGGCTCCTGCGTCTCCCCCGCCGCCGCTCGCGCTTGGTAGCTTCCACGCGGGCAGGTCCGGAAACTGAGCATGTCTGGAAGCGCTCGGCGGCCCCGGCGGCGGCGGCGGTGGCGGCGGCGGCGGCGGCGGGGGCAGAGCCCGGCTGCGTCAGGCTGAGCCCAGTCAGCGCGCGGCCGCCGGAGCGCAGTGCCAGCGCCGCGCCGCCCGGCCCCGCCGAGAGGGGCGCACTCGCCGCCGCGGGCCCAGCCGCCGCTCACCGCAGCCCCCTCCTGGCGACCCGCAAGTAAGTTTGTGAGGCTGCTGGGCGGTGGGGCCAGGGCTCGGAGCCGGGGGCGCGGCGGGCGTGTGTCCTCCGTGCCCAGCCGGAAAGCGGGTGGCCACTGGGGTGCTCGCGCAGGGGCGACGGGCGGCGCAGGAGGGGACAACTGGCTCGGGCGGGGGCCACAGGGTCGACGTGGGGAGAGGAGAGGCTCCCGCGGAGCCAGGGAGAGGGGACCCAGCAGATGCGGGATGGGGAGGCTGGGGTTCGGGGCGCGCCAGCCTGGCCGGGCACAGCCGCAGAGGGGAGGGAAGTGGGCTGTCCTGGGGGTCGGAGGGAAGCGGTGAGAGCGCTGGACGGCGTGGGGGACCGAGCGGAGGGAAGACGCATGGAAAGTGGGGCGCGGGGAAAGCGGATTTGAAGAGCGCATAGGACGCCGGTGGGAGGGACAGCGGGCTCTGGCCGGGCGCGCGGACTCGGGTGATTTTAGGGGTTCCGCACCAGGGCAGGGAGCGAGAATGATGGAGAGAGGTAGCCCTTCTGAATCAGTTTCTAGAAGGGAGCGCGCGAGGCCACATGTTGGGAAGCCGCTGAAAGTGGCCTGGGAGGGCCGGCTGGAAATCGCTGTGGGATTTGGGTGCAGGGGCGGAAGGTGAGCGCGGAGCGCGGCTACTGGTGGCACCAAAGGCTGCCCGCCCCTGCCCCTGAGTGGTGATTGAGTAGCGGCTCTCCGGGGCTCCCTGCCAGTCCAGGCTCCTCCGCCGCCCACCTGTCCTGGACACACCTCGGCTCGCCGGGGACCGGCTCCGAGGAGGCTGGGAGACCGGGCAGCCGGGAAGGTCGCCGTGTACTGGGGTGCCGCCGGGGGTCCTGGGGTGTGACAGTGTGAGGTCTGAACGCATGCACCGCCGGGATCGGGGTGGCGGAGGGTCCGTTCTGGGCCACGGAGATGCGCGGGGTCTCCTCGGAGGCGCTGGCTGAGCCGGGACGCGCGGGAAGTCCGCCGCGCGCAACTCGCTGAGGGGCGAAGAAGTGCGCGTGGCCGGCCGGGTCGCGGCGCTCTGCGGTCTGGCTGCGTGACAGGCCCACGGGCGCCGCGGGAGGGGATTAAGGCAAACGTGCTCTCCTACATGTCTCTGCCTCCTTTCCCCAGAGTCACATTCTTTGGCTCGTCCAATGATGCCTCTCGCCAACCTCTCTCCCCAGGTCTCCTCTCACCCCAAACCTGACGCCGCTTTCCCCATTACGTCCTCCGAGGACGCGGTGTTTCGCCGCTGCTCGCGCCAGCGACGCCCTCTGCGGGAGGGAATCCTCGGAGTCCCGCCGCTTAGAGGGGCTCGGGAATCCACCGGCCTTCCCCGCGGTGTCTCCGGGGGTCCGCGGCTCGCGCTGCTGCCCCTGCAGGTGACGCGGGGACTTTGCGGGTGACTCAGGAAGCGAGGTGGCTCCAGACCGCCGGCGAGGCCGACAGATGGGGCAGTGACCAGCACTTGCTGATTCTCGGGAGGGGGCCTTCGCATGTAAATAACTGAGAAAGGGAAAGACCGAGTTGGTAAAATAAATAAGTGCAAGCATTTTTATTTTTAATGCAAAAACGCTTACGTTGACCAGGCAGGATCTCAGCCACAGGCGAAGGGAAACCAGAGGCTTCTGCAAGAGGGGAGGGGTTGTCACGGTGGTGGGGGCTCCTCAGGCTCCATTCAAGCTGTGTTCTCTCATCGGTGCCACATTTTAAGAAAGGCTTTCCCAGGTGTGGGCGATGAGGATGAAGGCCATGTTGGAAAAACGCGAGCCATCTGTGGAAGGCTCCCAACACAGAGAGGGAGAACCGTGCCGACTGTCTCCTGCATGGGAGGAGCTGCAAGGCCATCGGCAAAGGCCGAAGACATCAACTTGCAGGGGACGACCCAGATAAAGTGAAACATCTGTAACCACGTGTGGGGAACGGTGTCAAAGCTTGTCTTGCACGGTGATAGCGCCGGTGTCTGGGGACACAGCAGAGACAGCAAGTGTCTAGTGGCCAGGACACAGCCTTTTATTCCATGTACCAGTGGCTGGCCCAGGTTCCCTGCACACCGTTGAAACACACCCTTTGGCTTAAGTTCATTGTTGTAGAACATCTGTAAGATCTGAGTAAGGATTTTGCTCTCATCTGCTTCCATGCCTGGATTTTATAAATTTGTTATATCCCGTGTAGACGTGAAATAAAGATCATTTTAGCCGTGTGTTCCCTTCTTGCCAGGTGGCTGTTCAAATAAAACATAATCAGATGTGTTCGCTTGGGTTGTTTTATTTGAGGGTCAGGGAGGAGGAGGGGGTGGGCAGATTGCTTAGTGTGTTAAATAAAGGCAGAAATTAGGCACGTGGAGATGTTGTGAGTATATGGAGGTGAAGGCTTCATTTCGATTCTGCTAAATTTGATGTGAAAAGAGAGCATCCATCATTCCCTACCTTCTGTATTTGAAATGCAAAGGTTTGTGCCCTTGCACTGGTTTCTGATTCTTGAGTAGAAGCTTAACTTGACAATAATGTGCCTGGAGAACTGTTCCCTAAACCCAGGTAAGCCTCAGAAACAGGGAATCTTTGCTACCCTAAGGTAAAGGCATTACAAGAAAAGTTGATTTAATGACCTGATGAGGGAGGTTGAGAGATAGAGATGTCAGTCAAAGTGGAAGAAGAGAAATCGCTTTCTCTCACCTAGGGAATGGATCTCATTGACAGAACAGCAGTTGTCAAGTGGGGGGGACGTTTTGCTCCTCAGGGGATACAGGCAAAGCCTGGAGACGTTCTTGATTGTCACAGCATTGGAAAGGGGGTGAGACTGGCTTCCTGTGGGTGGGGCTAGGGGTGCTTTTGCAATGATGTCCTACTTGCAATTTTCTATCCCCGGATGTCAGTAGGGCTGATGTTGAGAACCTGGCTTTCAACAAGTCTTGCTTAGAATCGAAGGTAACCCCTTTTAAAATACTTTTAAATATCCAATTGAATTTCCATACTGGAAATTAAGAGGAGTTATTAAGAGACTTTCTTTGCAAAATGGTCCCAATTTCAGTAGCACGTTTTTTAAAGGAAATTTTAAGATTTCCTTTTTACAATACTTATTTTCATTCTTTTACAAACTACTAAAATATATTGGGAATTTGTTAACATTTGGTTCTATGCATTGTATGTATGTGAATTCAATGAACAGTTTTGATGAAAACATGAATCTGTTCTGCAGTATTGTTTGCTGAATGTTTTTGGCAATTGAATTTTTAAATAGAAAGTGTTAATTTTTAAAATTAACTAAAATTACAACCAGGAAGTTCTTCATTCGGTGAGGAATGGAACAGAATCAGAGAAAAATGTTGATGAGCATTTATTAGAAGCCTCATGAAACATTACAAAATAAAACCTTAGTGTTTGTAGACATTTATGCAGAAAGATAAGAATTCCACTTAGGTTTTCATGTATTGGTTTCCATATTAAATCTACAGTTGCACATGTATTGAGAAACAACAAACCTTTCTAGCTTGTAGCATAATACATTGCCTAGAAAGGCAGAACAATAGCCTACTCTAATAACTGTAATAAGATCTGGGAACTGCTCTAATATTGCCTGCATACAGGAACTCAGCATTTACTAGGTAAAAGCCTGGTCTTGTTACACTGAAGCTTAGAGAAAGTAAGGGGTTTTGGTCAGTGTTCCTGCCCATTCTCCCTATCCCTCCCTCTCACCCCTATTTTCTGTTTGTCACTTTGTTTCGGAGTTCATTCCAAAAGGATGATCATGAGAGCCGCTTGCTTCCTTTCTTGGTCTCATAACCATTCCTTCCACTTTGGCCCTTCCTGTCCCTAAGGGCCTCTGCAGCAGAAGAGACTCATATTCCTGCTAAGTCTCTGGGGCCCCCAGCAACCTCTCCCTTACTCCTCTGTGTACAGACACAAACAGTTCTTTCCTGCCTCCAGGTAGAATGGAGATTGGTGAGTCTCAAGGAAGAAGGCAGTGGGTTTTAAACAAAATCCACTTCCATTTTTTCCCTCTTAGATGTTTACTGAATTGCTTCCTTCCTTTGTAGGCTCAGTTGCATAGCTTTGCCTTAGAGAAGGCTTCCTGTTTCCCCAGGGAAATGTGCAGGAAGGGAAGGAAAAAGGACTTGAGTGTGAGCAGCACTGCTTTTGATGGAGAGCAGCTATCACCGGTCTCTTGGAAAGCTCAGGGAGTATGATTTGTACCAGTGATAATCAGATTTGTAAATTCAATAAGCGTTTTGTAAATTCAGCAGGAAGAGGTTCTGTTCCAGGCACTGGGACTCTTGGATTTGCAGTGCCCAGCTGCCTTGTGCATTGCAACCAGTTTGCAAAACCAAATTAATTTGGAGTAATATACAAGTATTTTTATATATGTTTATAAAATTCTGTATGTAAAATGAAATGTAAAATGGGTATTTATTTTCCTTGAATTTTCAACAGCTTCAGAGATATGTCCTGATTCTTGAAAAGACTATAAAGACAATTGATGAAATGCAGAAGGCAGAACAACTCATTAAATGGAATTCATTGCATGGGTTTCTGTATAGACTAACAAGGAGGGAGAAATTTGAGGGGAAAAGGATGAAAGTCTGTCTTTTCCTTTCTTTGGGAATGGTTGTTGATTTTGTTTGATGTGTGAGCTGGGAGAGATGATTTGCATCCCTGCAGATAACTTATTGAATGGCTGTGTGCCCTTTATGCCTCTGATAGCCCTAATGGTAGCAGACAGTGGCTACAGCTGCACTGTAGAGTGGGTAGAGAAGAGTGGGATTTCAAGTCTGTCCTGTGCAAATGTGTGCAGGAGAGTCTGTGAACACATCCTTTCAGAGACTGAGCAGTTCATTTCAAGTGTTAATGAGCCTACCACAATCGCTACAGGACTGAATATGTTTATGTTTTAGGTACCACCAGAGTATACCTATCTAAGAGTATATTTAAAGGAAACAATAAAGCAGCTCCTTTTACCTCAGTATTCAGATTTACTACTCTGATGTGTTGGTTATTATTCCAGCTGAAAGGAAGATAGTGTGTGTGTTGGGGGGGGGGATTTTATCACTGTGTTGCATTTGCTAAATTCCATGAGGACTGCAGCAGCACATACACAGAGCAAGATTTTTGAAATTTATGCTTAGCAAAGACAAAGTTTCAGTTTTAATTTCATTCTAGCTTGGCATTGCTAAGAATGAGCAATAGCAATGAATGAAAAAGGCAACTTTGCCTGTGGAAGCTCTTATTTTGTTTATACATGTATATTCATCTTAAGAAACAAACAGCCTGGAATATTTCCTGAAGCTTTCAGCCTGCATTATAAATAGTATATCTCTTCTATCTCTGGGATATTCATTATGTGATGTCATTTGGAATCTGAATCCTGGATTAAGATGGCTGATAAAGTCCCTTCTAATTTTGTGATTTTTCTGTTGTATCTGTTCTCCTAAAGAAGGTAAAAAATGCATTCCATTTGTCATTGGAAGTAGAGTGCAGGGGCTGGCAGTAGTATATGTACACAGGAACTTGCATGTTACCTGATCTTGGCCTGGGACCACGTGAACCAAAACAGAGATCCCAGCCTTCTGGATTATGATTCCTGATTTGAACAATTTTTTTATTTCAACAACAGTGTTGTGACCAAGCTTAACAATCACTTAATGGGTTTGGAAAAGACTCACTGAGGAGAGCTAGAATACTACTACCATTAGTAAAGAAAAGGTACCGGGGTTTGGGGAGGACCAAGAGCTTTGCAGTCAGTTCTGCCACTCCTACTAGCAGGAGTGACCTGTGACAAGTTCTCTAACGTCAGGGGGCTTCAATGTCCTCACGTGTAAAGTGGTGGTATTTCTCTGTAGTGTTGGTTCTAGGAGTCCATGGAGTTTTCAGTAGCACTTGCTGTTGCTGCTGTGTGTGTCCTTCTGGGACTGGGATTTTAATGGTTAATTGCCAGAACAAGGGGACCAGAGAGGGTTCAGAGTTCAAAGGATAGTTTTTGTGTGCAAAATAAGTTGGAAAAGATTCATAGGTTGATCACAGGTTTGGAAAACAGTTTGGAAGTGAGGGAGGATGATGTTCTCTTTTGAGAAACAATGGTTTGGGATTCAGGATTATGGGGTGATTTGCTTGAGCTCAGTAGTCACTGCATCATTTTGATGGGGTCTGCATTTTTCAAAATATGCATCCTACTTTCTTATGTGTACACATTTGCTCTTTTTAAACAGAATTTATTTATTTGAAAGGCAGCACATGGGGTTGGGGTAGAGAGAGAAAGTGTGTGTGTGTGTGTGTGTGTGTGTGTGTATTATCCATTAGTTCAATCCCCAAATATCCACAACAGCCAAGGCTGGGCCAAGTCAAAGCTAAGAGCCTGGAAATCCATTCATCTAAGTCTCCCATATGAGTGGCAGGTGCACAAGCACTTGATCCATAATCCAATGAGCCTAGGCACATTAGCAGGAAGCTGGATGGGAAGCCAGCAATAGAAAGTTAAACCAGCTCTCCATATGGGATGTCTGTG